TAGCTACTTAACAACTAAATCATTTCTCGCCTTGTTTAAACTTCCTCCTCCTTTGTGGTCCTCTCTTCCTCATTCTTTCTTTCCTGCTGTGTCCCCCCCTCTCACCCTCCTCCCTTCCTCTCCTGCCATGCCTCCCTCTCTCTGAGCTGATATCAGAGATAGCGTTGACTTGTTGTTGTTGTCAGGTTGTGTTAATGGCCTCTGTGTGTGTAAGTGAGATGAAGCAGAGTCACATGCCACTGTCGTCTGGAGGCGGCGTCATGGAGAAGTGCTATCTGCTATCAAACACACCCCTCCACCCATCAGATGAGAATACTGCAGTGGTGTGTGTCACAGTGCGGGAAAGTCCCCGTTGTCCCTCCTTCATAAGCTGTGATTCAGTCTCCATTTCAGTAGACATGTCTTTTAACCTCAAAACCAAAGACAGACTGGAGACTGCTGGAGGCTTGTTGTCATGGCACTCAACCATCCTCTCCGCCGTCATCCTTCGCCACCCGAACATCTTATTTTACACCAAAAAGTTACTTGTAAAGCACATTAAACCAGCATACGATTATAGGCGGCTGGTCAAATCTATGATTGCTGTGGAAAGAATCAAAATGTGGAAAAGAAAGCATAAAAAGAAGGAAAATTGACTGAGGTTGGGTTGTTTTGCTGCAACACGCCATGCAGCGTAACGTGGCGTGTTTCAGGCACTGTTCAACCTTAGAGCGACGGTTGTGTTGCAGTGAAAGGGCCAGGAATGTGGCAGTTGTGCCGTTTCAAAGGCAGGTGTGTTCAATGGTACAGTGTGAAACGTGGCCTGTCCTGTTGATTGAATGCCTATTTTTTCAACAGAAAGCAAGCAGACGCTCCGTTTACAGCAAAATAACAGCTTCTTATATTAATATTTCTATATTTTCCTTCTCTGACCTAATGGAGAGACTTCAACAAGCTTGTCCACACATACTGTTACTAATTGAAGCACTTTTTTTAACAGCAGGGAGGTAAATTATCTCAGCTGCACGTTGTGCTGTACTTTGAATGTTGACTTGGAGTTAATCTGACACTTAAATAAATTTTTGTCTTATATTCATGACATTAATTTAAAAATCAAGTTTCCAGTACGCCCAAATATAGAAATTTCTTTACAACAAAAAACTTTATAAAACCAAAGCTGTTGTAAAGTTTGATACAGCATTTATAATATTCAGTTCAAAATACATAATTTGATTTTGTACGATTCCTGCAGTGTCGATACTTAAAATGAAATAAAAGTGAAGGCCATCCCCCACCTGCTTCCATCAAAGTCCTGCAGAGGCACTTAAAAAAAAGAAGAAAAAAATGCATGTCCACCTACATCACCAGATGTTGGAGGACTGTCCAAAATTCAGTAGCACTACTTGATTTTTTTTTACTCATGCTGTTGTAGAAAGCATTCGTGTAAGAAATTATATTTAAGAAATAAACATAACTTGGTTAAATAGCTGCTCTAGTAATGAATAATTGTTGGTTTATAAAATCTGATTTAATGTTTAAAATGTTATCAGATGAAAAGCTATGCGCAAGTTTTATATGTCAATGAAATACTAAAAGTAAAAAGTCCAAATAAATATGAAATTAGAGCAAAAGAAAAGAAAAAGCATTCCTATAGGTTATGTATATATGTGAAGAAAGATAAAGAACATCCAGCTAGAATATCTACCATTTACTGTATTTTCTATTGATCTCCAAATAATTCAGGTTCATCATGGTGGGTAGAGTAACTAGAATATTTAGTCAGGTTAGACTAACAATGTTCCAACAGAAATTTGCTTGATTAAAAAGTGAAAGAAATATATATTTTTAAATATACTCAAGTAAATATAACAAGCAATGTGTGTGAGAATGTGCTATTCTTATTTATTAGTTGTTTTGTATCGTAAGTTGTTATTTATTTCTTATATTGTGTGTAAATTGTGGGACAGTGACTTTTTTTTAAGCATATGCACTGATTGATGGCACTTTTTTTATTTTGTTGTTCTTGTGACAAGGGTTACAATAAAGATATAGATAGATAGATAGATAGATAGATAGATAGATAGATAGATAGATAGATAGATAGATAGATAGATAGATAGATAGATAGATAGATAGATAGATAGATAGATAGATAGATAGATAGATAGATAGATAGATAGATAGATAGATAGATAGATAGATAGATAGATAGATAGATAGATAGATAGATAGATAGATAGATAGATAGATAGATAGATAGATAGATAGATAGATAGATAGATAGATAGATAGATAGATAGATAGATAGATAGATAGATAGATAGAACCCACCTCTGCAAGGCATGGCAAACAAAGTGTAATTATTCACCCACTCACTCACACACTGGTGGTGGCAAGTTACTCTGTAGCCACAGCTGCCATGGGGCTCACTGACAAAGTCAGAGCTTGAACCAACAACCCTTCAGTTGCAGGGCAACCTCATGCTTTTGACACCACTGTCGCCCCCTATCCAGACAGAAGAGTGTTGCATTAGTTTAGCTGGTTGCAAAGATTCACGGGTTTGAAATTAACACTGGTTTAAACTAAACGTGTCAATCTATAAGCCATATTTCTATGAAGCTTTCTACTGCTGGCTCCACCTAAACCGTTAACTAATTAACCAATAGGCTGACATCACATTATTAGACGGTCGGGGTTTCGGTAAAAATAAGAAACTGCAAAATCTAAAGAAAACTACTAATTATATATTCTATTAATATGAAGTTAAAATATCCTTATCAAAATAGTAACAATAAATGTTACATATTCTATTACTCTAATAACCAACCAACCAAAGCAAAGTTTCCTCTTAATCTAGAACAGCTTGATTGGTTCATTTCAGTTAAAATTAATGAATTCCTGGTCAAAGTTCAGCAAGTTATGGATCTAGTTAAAAAAGCGAAAACACATTTCAGGTGCATGAAAAATAAAAATAAAATATACATTTCTTCTAACAGTTTTAAAGGTTAAAGATATTACCTACAATATCTGTTTGCCTGCAGACTGCCTGTATTGAATCAACAGGGAGGAAATATTATTGATCCTATCTGAATTAATTGTTCATTCTCTGAAAATTCTGATGTAAATCTTTTATTTAGTCCTTAAAGGTGGGGTATGTGATGTTTTCTGGAGCATGTTTTTACCATACTGATTGAAAACCTCCTCACGAGCCCATTGCGCCAACTGAGATAGAATGTTTGGAAAAAAAACGAAATCTTTTAGTCCAGTGTAGAGGGCGTAGTCAGAGGAAAACGCAAACCAATAGAAGTAACTATCATCCCTACTTCTACTGGTTTCTGGCACGCCCATCAACCGTCAGCTCTGAGCTCTCCCCACCCCTCCCCCCTGCGCGTTCACAGACTCGTGACACCCCCCCCCCCCCCCCCCCCCCCCAAGTGCCGCTGAAGGGAGGACCTGTTCGAATTTACAGACAGAACTCTTGTGGTCTCCTTATTTTCAAGGACTTCGAAGGGTCCAGTCTAGGTAGACCGCGTCCTTGGAGGATGCAGCCCAGGTTTTTGAACAGAGCCTCTGATTAAGAACAGGGCTGCCTGCACTGACGCGGCTCAGGGATTACGTCACACGGAGCGTCGTGCGCAGTGAAATCAGGACATTTCCTCACTTTCTAAAAAAAACCCGGGACGCCCGGGACAGGACGTGAAATACGGATATGTCCCGGGAAATACGGACGTTTGGTCACCCTAATCAATACTTCTTGAAATGACAACCGTGACAACTTGTTTACGACCATATTGAATTGTTCAACACTCTTACCGTACTAGGAGAAGACGACGCCATCATGGAAGTTAGCCTGTTATGTTGTGGTTAGCTAGTAATAGACATGAGCTTCTCGCCTCATCCCGAGTCACGTGCACTCGCGAGGTCTCGGCCTGTTTCTTTCTCGTTCTCGGGAACATCCGAACATTCTCGACTGACAGCAGGCGCGTTCATGTAATTTGGAGGCGTGGTTTCGTGGGGTGGGCTGAAGGTGTGTATTTTCAAAAATGTAGCTGGCAGGAACCGTTTATCCAGGATCATATACCCCACCTTTAATAGAATTAAGGATACAATCAGGAGTTTTGCTCACCTTAGGGCCGTATTGTAGATAAATAGTGTTGCTTAGTTTTAAGTTTTCTAAAAACCATTTGCCAGAAATCAATGTGATCAAATGAAAATCTGATATTGTCAGCTACTGGATGCAAACTTACAACAACAAAATCCCTACTGGTCTATTCCCTGTTGAACAAAACTTGGCTTTTATTTAAATAAATATATATTTTGTTATTTGACTATAAAACATCACATTAAAGCAAAAATAAATAAATCAATTGTTTGTTATTTGTGAGGTTTTAACAGATTTTCAACTTACTTTTCTACTGAAATTGTGATTCTGTTTAATAGGTAAACAATTAAAGAATTTAACCTTAAATAAATATGTTATGCAATGCATTTAAAAACACATTTAATTGGTAAAACTAAAACTAGATAATTATAGATCATAATGAAAACCTTTTTGCTTTTTAGAGAAAGGTTTAATGACCATGAACCTGACCTGCTAAATAGTATATTTTCTTACTGCACAGCAGGAAAGAGCCCAAAGACAATTATGTGTTTTTGTTTACACCGAACGGGGATGAGTAAAACAAAAGAGAAGAGAGGGAGAGATACTGAGAGCAGGAATAAAATAGTTCTGGAGAGCTTGGCACGATTCTGATATGAAGGAGCTGCAGAAAATCAAGCACAGCCAAAAAAAGAGAAACAACAAAACAAACCAAAAACGTTGTTTGAGCTGCAGAAATGATGAGGAACATGTGGTGCGACAGAAGGGTTCCAACGTGTTAATGAGAGCAGGCAAACACAGCAGACAAGAGACACTTCACAGGTAGAGAGAGACGCTGCAGACATCAGAACAAACCAAAACAAAACTTCCTCCCACCTCACTAAAGTTAACCCCTTTTTATTTTCTCTGTGTGTTTCTCCAGCTAATGGTTACATCAGTGCCAGGGCCTCCCCGGGCCTCCTGTCCGTATCCAATGGCAAACAGCCTGGGAAAAGTAGTCCCGGCAAAGTCTCCGCCTCCACCCAGCCCTCAGATGGTCAACAGCCGGAAGCCGGACCTGAGGGTCATCACTTCACAGAGCGGGAAGAGCCTCATGCAGCTGGTGAGGAAAAAAAAATATATAAACACTTTAGATTTTAGATATTATAGATTCAATTAATGGACTGATAAAAAAGTAGCAGTAAAACACTTGATATGAAATATCGGTAGTTTATATTGGGGATGTCCTGATCAGGATGTATTATCCCTGATATCAACCACAAAAAAAAAAAAAATGCATTTTCAGGTAACTTCAAATAACTTATAATTTATTTAACTTTGATAGAACATCCATTATTTACTGAATAATTTAACTAGTATCAATCCATTATATTCTATCATAATGGACTCTTTTCCTTATAATTGTCTTAATTGCTGTTCTCGTTTTGTCATTCTGTGAAGAAAGTCGGTATTTTCAAAGAAACACTTTAAAGGAATAGTACACCCAAAACATGATTAGCCTTCATTTTCTACTCACCCCCATGCTGAACAACACCCTGGAGTACTTTTTTGATATCTCAAATGCATCTGGAGATCTGGGAGGCTTCTTGCCGTCTGCTGACGTTCATGACGCTTCAGAAGCCGGCAGACCAAACCAGATGAAAGTGCGCATTCAGCGTCTGCTCTTCCAAAAATCCAAGCGTAGAAGAAGAAATGTGCCGCTTACCTGTGCAAAGAAAGAAACAACGAAAGAAAAATGTGTGAGGACTTCAGTGTTGAGGAAGAGCATGAGTTCTTTGCCGAGCTGAATGCGCTGGTTTGGTCTGCCGGCTTCCGTAGACTCGTGAACGCGCATGTGCGCGCTTTCAGGAAATCCTATACACTACTGTTTATGCTCTAAAAACATTCTAAATGACTTCGTTTCGAGTAAATTCTGGATGCTACCCACTCAGAAAACTTGGAATACATTGGACGAGCAGTATGGAGGAATATTGACACGTTTTTGTGGACTTTTATGGACCTTTCTGTCTCGGGCACAATAGACCTCCATTATTTGAATGTCAGCAGACAGCAAGAAGCCTCCCAGATCTCCAGATGCATTTGAGATATCAAAAAAGTACTCCAGAGTGTTGTTCAGCATGGGGGTGAGTAGAAAATGAAGGCTAGTCATGTTTTGGGTGTACTATTCCTTTAAGTCTTCCTTATTAAGAGTTGACTTCTTCATTTAAAAGGTAAAATATACCCCATTTACACTACCCTTGAAAAACCGATCCATGCCGAGACCGGTCCGAGCTCGGATCAGTTAACCAGGCCGAGCTCGGTTCTGATTACCGTTTACACATCACGCTATCTCAGTTCCTCGACTCCTCGCCTCCTAGTGATGATCTGCGGTATTACTGCCAGTATTGAAGGAGGAAATCAAGCAGTTGGTGGCGGTAATGCACCAAATGTTGTTTGCCAACCGCCATAAAACACAAGAAGAAGAAGACGAAGAAGGAGGGAATCAAGCAAATCAAAATGCTGTCTCATTCAGAAAGTTATGCTTGATTTCGATTGTTGTTATAGTTGAAGAAGAAGTTGTTCTTCTTCTTCTGTTTCCGGCGGGGCATTACCGCCAACTACTGGAATGGAGTGTGAATCGGGATGTGCAGCCAGACGGAGATGACGCGTTCTGCTCATGCACTCTTGTTATCAGAGAACCGAGCCAGGGAAAAACCGAGCCGAGACCACCAGTGTTGCCAACTCAGTGACTTTGTCGCTATATCTAGCGACTTTTCAGAACCCACCAGCGACTCTTTTTCAACAAAGCGACCAGAGACAAATCTAGCGACTTTTCTGGTGTCTGCCGTGGGGAGCCTCACCCGTCCCAACCCCGTTCTTCCGCTTCCACAGGAGTCCCTCTCAGCGCTGCAGTCAGAGCCACAGCATGTTTACCCTCAGCGTCAAGACTGCAAATGAGCCGTGCACATGCGCTGGGATTGACGGCGCAGGTTGATCACGCTGGACTCAGCTCCCTCAGTTGCTGAACCTGCCATAGAGAGCCTTGACCAACATGACGATGACACACTCTTTCTGTGAGCAGGCAAGCACAGCCTGTGTGTGTGGAGGGAAATCTTATTAGTTAAAAAAAAAACAATAATTACCATTATTTGCTCACATTGTCATTGATTCTTTGTAGGCTTTTTTTGTTCCATTTAGATTGTTAATGTTAATGTAATGTAAAAAATTGTATGGTTGAAAATGTTCATGTTTTACCATGCTTTCTAAGCTAGTTCAGTTTGCTTTCCATTTACACACGATAAGTTATCTCAGTTACTGAGCTCGGACTGGTCTCGGCACGGTTTTTCAAGGGTAGCGTAAATGGGGTAAAAGACTCAAAATGTAATTGCGCCTTTAAATCATGGGGAGATACACAGCAATGGTATCACTGCATGTAAATAAATGTTTGATAAACACGTCATGCAATGACTAAATTAATGCCTGTCATGTAACCCCTGGTGCCTGTGGAGAAGGACCGATCTGCTGCACAGCATGGCGGGAAAAAGTAAAAGGCAATTATTGATGAAAACAGTCCCAAAGCCAAAGTTATGCTGGTTCCAGTTATATTAACTAAGGAGAAAACCCTGGCTGGGCTTTAGAGAGCAGCGACAGGGAGCATCAGCAGGAACAGGCTCCCTGGAATACAACAGCTCTCTATATTTCTCATTCTGAGCCTTCCACATGTAAAGGTGCCATGCAGAATACTAGATTTGGAAATGTTAGGAATCTGCCATGAGACTCAGAAATACATGCTTAAGTCTGGTGATCCAATTTAATCTCTAATAATCTCTAGAGTTCTTGACTCTGGTAGTAAGGAACGACTTGGCTTATGAATAATTAACAAGCATTCATTGTAAAAATATTTGTTAGCGCCCCTCCCTCCTTCTCCCCAGCCTCTGTATATCAGAGTTGAACAGATGTGAGCAGCAGGACAGTATTAATGACTGTTTTTTAATGCTGCATAATACAGGGCAATGCAGCTGTAAATATGAAGATGAGTATGTGCAGCGGTGCCATCACAAAGGGCTTTTTGGATGTGATTGCTGGTAGAGGACTGGATTTCAAGAGTCATCCATTCCCACTCTGCACATCAACAACATATTTGGCCAGTTGGATGGAGCCTAACGGCTCTTAAACTCAAACATTATGTACATTTTTGACGGCAGATATTAAACACAAAGGGAAATGTAGGAACATTTGCATTGTGGAAAAGAAGAAAAGACTCAGGGGTCAGAAATATTGTCCAAGTAAATATTTTCTTTACATTAACCTATAACCCCTTATATGCAATTTTATCATAAATCTTTTGAATGTAAATACAGCTGAAGACATTGATATAACTGCAGTTATTAAGGTAAATAAAACCGGATGATTATTTAAAGGTTTTTTTGATCGAGAAACAGAGACCCGAGCTTGTAAAACCAGTCAGTCTAACTTTAGATAATGTCCAGCGTTAGAGCACCGCTGCTCAGCTGACAGATAGACAGGAATCTACTCACTGGAAAAGGTGACATTTTCAGCAGAAGATGGCAGTGGATGTGAAAAAGATGTTTGTGGATCAGTTTTATCAGAGACTTTCAATAATAAATTATTTAGAACTGAATTAATAGGAAATTGATCTAATTACATGTATCAGGACTGGGGCTGAAAAAATCGGATTAATAGTGATTAATTGATTATTGAAACAGTCATCAACTAATTTAGTAATCGATTAATACTTAACGGGAGTATAGAGACTCTTAAACATGCCTTTAGCTGAAAGAGTGACCAACTTAGAGCATTATGCTGATGAAGATTCTCAGTCATCCAGGTCATAGTCATTCCGTTAAATTCAAAAAATATTCAGTGAACTTGGTTTCCAAGATTTTAATCTATTTCAAATCTTGGAAACCAAGTCCACTGGATATTTTCGGAACTTTTACGGAACTTAGAGCATTTATTATACCAAAAATGTAAAAAATAATAAAATAAAATATGTAAACCTTTTGCATTTAAGATAAAAAAACTAAACTTTTCCGCCTGTCTATATGCTCTATCCAAAACTCCTAAAGTGGAAAGTTTTAGTTTCACCTGTTTTAATTTTGTAAAAAGCCTTTTTTTAGGAACCTTTGGCTGTCTGATTATTAATCAATGATTTGAAACAAAGAATCGACAGATTAATCGATTTGCAAAATAATCATTAGTTGCAGCCCTAATCCACTTTAAATTGCAAACATTAGAACCAAATAATTATATTTTATAAGTTTTTACCATTTCTGGTAATTTCTTCATAGGATCACAAACTGTGAGTTAAAACGATTATGATGATTTAAGTCTTGTCACCTGGTCATCTCTTCAACGAGCTTTACACAGGATGTGTCTGGTCTCCATCATTGTTCCAGATGAATGGATTATTATTATAAAACTGGTGACATTCTTTTCACAGCCAGTGTTGCACTGCAGCAGCAACACGTTTGGCCACTTTCCCTCTAACATACAAACCTTTTTTGGTTTTCTTCTACATAGATTACATACATATTTTACTAAGTTTAACTTAAGGAGTTGAAGAAAAGCTTTTGTCTGTATTTAAGCATCTTGATGCCAACCATGCGGTGGCTTACCGTCAAACAGCTTACAAACATCGAGTTGAAACAGGCTGAGCTGCTTTAAAAACAGAGAGGAAGGTGTTTTTGGATCATGGAAAACTACTTTGATGATTAGTCTCAGAAATTAAAAAGCTACCACCCTCATCAGTTTCTCCGAAAGTGCTTTTTAAATGACAGGATGTTGTATATTTGGATTTCTTCACTCTCTCTTTTGAGCACAAATACATTTTTGTACGTTGAATTTTCCGGAAGTACGGAGTGTACAAGTGGACCTGGCAGGAGAAGTGAAACTCTCACCGTTTTACAGACAGAGTTATGCTGACTGTTAGTGATGTTTAGAAATATTCAACATCTCTATGATCAGAAAAGCAGATCTCATTCTTCCTCCTCGCATTTCCATCTTTCACGCGCGGTTTCGCAGAGCTGCAGATCTTGGAGAAAACGAGACCCTGTTTTCATGCTGGGTTGTTTATATCACGAAGAGTTCACAGGAACTTAA